TGGTCTGACAGTCAGGACTTGGATACTTGAGCAGTTTGCACGGACAGTATGCATAGCTGATGTGTAGAATTTCTGCCATGCTTTTACTTTCTGTTTCTTGTCTGACAAATGAGAATCAAGACCCCTCACTTGCTTGTTTAAGAATCATTGGTAAGGGACATAAAACTGTGCTTCTGGAACCCCCCTTTGGTAGTCAAGCAGATTAAATATTTGGGAAATTAACAGTATTCAGCCTGACCTACCCAAGGAGCTCACATTTGGTGAAGTAAACTGGTGTCCTGATAGTGCATAGGCACCTTAAGTTGGTATAGAGGTGCTGCCAATGTAGATGGTAGTGTTAATCCTGCATTAAACTTTCCTTAAGGCTGACTATCTTCAGAAGGGGCTGGCATAGATCTACCTATGGTTTCTAAATGCAATAAGTTAAGTAGGTGCTGTTTTGGTGTATGGAGCCCCCAGTGGGGTGAAGGAGGGGAGGCGGGTCAGTGAATAGATCTTTTCGATCTTTTACAAAGTGGCTTGCAGTTTGAAAACACTGGAAAACCACTTGATTAGACTTTGATTAGGTAAGTCCCCATGACTACATGTCATTCTCTCCCTCTCACAGGAATGTGGCTTTATAGCTCTTATTAGCAACTGTACCATTGGCTCTGACTCGTCGTCCTGGCAAAACCTAGTTCTGTCTTCAACTCTGAAAGCAGCACATGGAGATCACTGACTGACTGTTGTTTGTCCCAAAGTCCTGATGACAGATGGCATTTCATTGGGGACAATTCAGCAGTCTGCCGGCACTTTCTATAAGCAGCATTATCAAGAGTACATGACAGTGAGAAACTTTTGTGAGGGAAGGGCATTCAGTGCTGGAACACAGGCCAATGAGTTCATTGTTCTCTCTCTGTGTGATGCAGCCCTGTACCATTATGCTGTGCTTACAAAATATTTGTAACACTTTGAGAAACCAGAAGTATCAGTAGCTGGTGTTGCCTTTGAGGGAACAAACCAGTAACATGGTTTTGGGGATATGCCAATTACAGCCTGGGGACCTTAGTCCATCTGCTGCAGCCACCACCTGAAGAAGAGCCAATGTGGGCATGAAAATGTTGGTGCATTGACTTAGTTCCACAATGGGTATTGCCTCAAGGGCGCTTGATTCAGTTGTTGGACCCCATGTCCTTCTCTGTGTCCTGTGCCATTAAGAGGCAGGCTACACAGACATTAGGGGAGACATAGCAAAAGGGAACTTGCTGCTGCCCATTACTTGACACAGAACAACACTGTGACTGGCAGGGTGGGAGGCATGCTGATGGGACTTGCTTTACCAGGGTCAGCAATGAGGGAGGTAGCCTGGAGTCGGGCAGAAGGCAGGACAGGGTAGTTGGTGCCTTAGAAACCAACTTGTGTGGAAAGGCATAAGCTGTCACGCATGGTGGCCTACTTAGTTGCTCTCACTGATGAAGCCTCATGCCTTTCTGAATGAGCTAGTTTCCAAGGGCTAAATAGAAGGCTTAGGAGATTAATGAGGGAAAGAGCCCCACAACATCTGTCTGCTCTTTTTCTTGCAATGCTGGACACTACAGATGTTATCAACCAAATATGAAAATGACACCATACCCTGTGTAGGTCATGCTTTGCATCCAGAGAGATCGCACAAGTGCTTTTCAGTGGGATTACTTTGCCAACCACTGAAATGGAGCCAGCTCTGATGTGGAAGGCACCAGCCTCTCCTCCCCTTAGCTTGTGACCTTTGCTTTAAACCAGAGTTAGTAGAAGATGATTTTTTTGAGCATGAATCCTCTTAGTGTGATACTATCTCCTCTTCAGATAAGGAGCCAGTTGATCCAAGAGCGCAGTCTAAAACTGGATGCTTTCCAGCGTGTGGACGAATTGCAGGGTCAGGTTTATGATTTGGAAGCTGGAGCTTACCAGAAAAGCTCACCTGGAGGTAAGGAACATGTAATTGCATTTTTAAAAAGAAAAATGGGATGGGCAATCTAAACAAAACCAGTAGGTTAATGGTGTGGTTTGTCACCATCAGCTTGCCAAAATAATCTGCCTGCAAATGATTTTTGGAGAGTTTAGATGTGAGATGTGAGTTATTTATAGCTTGTGTGCTTGTTTTTAACCATAGACCCATCAGGAATATCTGTTTTGCTCTTTTGGCTGGAAGTCTCTCTGGAGAACAAGAGAACTGGACTGGGAGCTTTCTTAGCCCTAAATTAAAGGAGCAAGGATCTCCAAACTTTAATGAAGAGCCCTGTCTCCCCACCTCTGTTAGGTGTTTTGTAACACCTGTTTAAGTTCTGTATCCTTCGGCCCTCCCCTCCTGCCCCTCT